TTCTAAGCAGCCAATGGGTGATAGAAACTTTTAGTAAGAAGCTATTTTTGGGCATGCAGTCCACTTAATGACTTACCATGGTGATCATCATTTAACCTTAAAGTTACTATGAAATAATATACAACATACTTTCATAATGTAATTGGAAATAGCTCTTTCAATGCACAGACCAATTAGACAAACAAAACTTTACTTTTCAGTAATGTTATATTTTTCCTTTTCTAATAGCACTTAAAGGATTACTTTACTGCTTTTCTTCATGAAAGCAGTTGTTATTGAGGGACATTTTTAATATATCACTCCATGTCAGGGTAAAATGACACATATCCTTGGATAGCACTGAAATAAATACATTGGATAAGATGTTTTGTATTCAGGTAGGAAGAGAGGGAACTTCATCCCTAATGTGCCTTTCTGCATTGAAACTTGCATTTTCAAAGAAATCTGCTTAAAATGAAACTTTTTCTTTAATCTTAATATCTTTATTTTATTATTTTATTTTATTTTATTTCATTTCATTTCATTTCATTTCATTTTATGCCCATGTTTTCTTGTCTCTTCATTTGAGGGAACAACACAAGGCCTCAAGATGAAAAAATCTTAATGACATCCAAATCCCTGTGGATAGGAAGATCATTTCTGTGCAGCTGTATTTTCATGAAAATGACAAAATTTGTGTGGGATTTTTAAGCTAGTAAGCTGAATGAAAAATCTCATTTCAGAGTATTGTGTTCCCCACCACTAATATAAATACTGGTTTCTTACAGGTATACTAAGATTGTTGTTTCAATAAACTTTTCCTGGTCTCTGTTGTATAAAATGGATTCTCTGGCCTTTAATAATACTAAATACCAAATAATAAATCCTCTTTCTAAAAAGTACCTCCTTCTTATCTGTTCCAACTTTCATCATTGTGGCTTTTTTCTGTTGAAGGAGAGCTGTGAATAACGATCATAAATCCAAGCTTTGTCATGTTAGATCAGACCATGTGCCTATCAAATCTCCCTATTCAATCTCCAGGCAACATTTGATGCTTTGGAGTGAAAGCTTTCACCTTGAAATGTTTGGATCCAAGTCCGCCCATTGCATCCACCCTAAACATAGGAGCTGGAGGAGGGCAGAACACTGCTGGCTGAAGCATAGCAATGTTTAACACACATTGCTTCCTCAAGGCTGCAGAGTGCTTCCAAACACAAGCAAATGCCTATGCATGTGGAACTAAATGTAGAACTGGAGTCTTCCCCAGGATCTGACATCTTGAGGAGATAATCTTAGATGTACACAACTGGAGAAAAGTCCAGGTTGGATGGGACCTATGGAGGTGGTGTGGACCAAACTCTTACTGAAAGCAGGGTCATAATTTGGTTATCCAGGGTCATACATAGATAAATCTTGAATATTTCCAGCAAAGGAGGTGCTAACATATTTCTGAGCAACGTGTTCCAATGTTTAATTGTTCTCACAGTGAGAATTTTTTTCCTGTGCACTTCCTGGAAACAGTGAGTGCTGTTCCAGGTAGGGAGATCCTATTAATCCTCCTCCTGATCCAGACCTGCAGTTGTGGACTGTGTGAGTGGACTGACATCCACTGCACTTTCAAACGCAAATTATTTTGTTGTGTAGATAGACTGTAAGTCATGTTGCTGGAGAAGCTTTCTGGATTTTCTTTGTACATTAAAGAATCCACCATCCGCTGTAGGCAGTAGGGAGTCAGCAACTTTAATGATTTTAAGAGGTTTAGATTAGTCTCAGCATGAGGCTTGTAGTCTACAGAACTAATCCATCAACTTTTGCTTATGTTTAGACCATGTTTCAAAGACTTAAAAACCATAATGTTTATATAATGGGATAGTGCATTCACAAAAAAATGCTAAAACAAATCTCATCAGTAATTCTCAATTTTCAGCAGACATGATGAAAAGCAGCTGAGGGATTAGCACTTTGCAAAACTTCAGCTACTTTAGGTAAGATGTCACCAGATGTATTTAAATTTCATGTATCTGTAGTCCTTTCCAAGTCTAAGAACAGGTTACCATTGACTGTGACTGTGGAATTTCAGCCTAAGGCTTTTTAAAATGTGAATGAAACTCACTGTTGATTACTATTAATATGTGAGTGCTAGCCTATGTTTGTAAGAATTAGATTTTTCATGGAAGTAGAACTAGAAGTCAATGTCATGATTCATAGTAAAGAATGTATTTTGATTTTCACATTAAACAGGATGTGGTCCTGCCTTAAAAATCCTTCCAACAGCAAATAACTTCCCATATGCCAATACACAGTATAAAAGCATTAAAGATTCCCATCCTCATCCACTGCCAGCCAAATGACAGACATGAAAGGGATTTAGCCAAAGCGTCCCTACATGCAAAACGGAAAGGGCCAGAGCCTCCCTCAAAATGAGTAGTTTCTACAGATGTAATTCAGGTGCCCTAAGTTTCTGTGGGTGATCTGCTGAAAGCCTCCCTGATAGGGAGGATGTAGTGCAGGAAGTTGTCCTGGATATGGCAATGAAAGGACTGAGGTGGTGGAGCAGCCTGACTGGGGAGAAGACTGGGAAGGGTCATGACATCTTCCTTTGTAAGGAGAAAACAGCAGAGCTGCTTCAATTGCCACACGTATTGTGGAGAGAAAAAGCAATTTCTAAAAAAAGATTCGGCTTTTAGTGAGTACTTGGCAGGTTATTCAGAGGAGGGTGAATACAGCATGGGTTCATACTCAGATCTGTGCAGCACAACTCAGGGAAAACTTGCTTTAGAGAAAGGGTGCTTAAGAGAAAAAAAAGTAAGCTTCAATGAGTTTTTCAGTGAGAGAAAGACCAATCAGCATCTTTGTTCAGAACCACAGTCGAAGGACCCAAGTTGCATGTTGATACAAATCTCACCAGAGACTTGTTCGCTAAGAGGGAACAGGGTGAGAGGAGAGACTGATAAGAGGTTTAGGATGTTGGTAGCTGATCAGTTACTGAAAAGTTGTGTTTGTTTAGCCCTGAGTGATGAGTTACTGATTAGCTCAGACTTTACTTGGGGAGCTAAGTCTACTTTCTTCAGGAAGGACAGGTTGAAGTTACAGTACAAAAGTTCCTGTTTTGTTGCTGCTCTAATTTCAGTGTCCTCTTGATTCTTAAATTGAGGAGAACTTTAACATCTTTATGTGTTAGAAAATCCTGCATCTGAAAATAGTGTTGAAGTTTTCTGTTGTTTATTTCTGCCTTGAAAATTGCTTGCTTCATTTTCCTTATATCCTCACTTTGTTCACTTTTACCCTGAAGATTTCTTGCAAATGAAATAAAAGTTTTTTTAAAAACAATTTTGTCTCTGTTTACACAATATATCTTGCCTGTCACCTACTGCAGGGAATGATAAATCATTTTTAGGATAGTGTATGTCATTGACAAAATTAGATTAAAACAAAACATCTTGTCTGTGCTATTAGAATAAATGAAAATGCTGAGACATTTAAAAACAAGTTCAGGTTGACTGAAATAACTATCACTGAGATAACAAACAATGTGTATCAAGCCAAGAATCACATAACAGGCCGAAGTCCAGTAACATCCTCAAGATTCTTGAGACCTGACAATATTTTTTCCCCAATTATACCTGCAAAAAGTGGATGTCAGACGCTGTAGTGTGTATCTGGAAGAAGAGGAAGCAGAGAAAAGGAACCAGAGAATGTATAAGGCAGGGGAGGGTATGTTCAGTCTGTTGGAAGAAACCTCATTTAGAAAGGGATGTTTATGTGTCCTTATATACACTGACAATGCTCTGCATATGTTTTCACGTGAAACTGGGATATCCATTTTTCTTAGGTCTTGTCTAGTCTCCCTTTCTACAAGCTGCATCTATCTACATGCATTTGGTCCTGGACTTCGTCTACACTCTGTGTGGTACATGAAACTATCTCTCAGCTGTAATCTACCTAATCAATATAGATTTTTTTCAGTTCAATGGATGAAGTAATGTGTGAGGCATTAGCAGCCCACCAAAGAAGTGTTTTTATAGCTTGCAGTGGAGGGCCTATGTTGCAGGTCACTGGGAATGGTGTGAGACATGAGGATATTCAAGCTTGCAAACTGGAGCAGTGGTTGAGGATAGTGTAGTATAGAGGAAAGTGATACTGGGTGCAACCTTCTCCATGCTGCCTTTTATGAGTGATCTCTGGAAGGAACTATAATCAAAACCCTGCTCAGGTGTTTAGAGAGTTGGTTGAAGAAGTCTAAGCAGAGCCAGAGATCAGGTTGGAAGGCATATGGGTCATCAGGGGTCCAGTGCTCAGTTTTCTTTCCTGAGTTTCTTTTATTCAGTAGCGTAAAGGTATGCTCTGAGTCCTTGTTCTAGACAATTAATGGAGTACCAATAATATTAATGTTGAAAAGTTCACCATACCTATTATTAATGTAGTCTAAAGAATGAATTGTCATATTAGGATGGTAAAGAGCTGCTCAGGAAATGTCCAAAAAAAACTTGAAAGTATGCTGTGATGAGACAGTGGTTACTGTGTAGTGTTTTAGAAGTTGTAAGACTTTTCTAGAGCATGAAAAATGATTGAAAACTTATGAAAAAAAATGAATGTAAAGTGATAGTGATTTAGTTGAAGCTGTTTAACAATATCAAAGTAATTAAATTGCACAGTACTAGATTTCCAGTGTTTTGTGATGGGCAGTAAAGTGTAAAGTCAGTCCAGTGTTCATTTTTAGTGGGTTTTTTTTTTCATTTACATTTAAGTGTAAATGGTAAGTCTCTTCAGAAGTTCTTTTTGACACAACCTGAGAATTACCACACAAGAATGAAGCTACCATTTATTCACTAAGAAGATATGTTTGTTTATTTCTAGCATATTCTAGGCCAGATACAAGGCTTTCGGAGTCTTTAAAAAGTGGCATTTTAAAAGTGGTACAGAGAAGACTTCATTTTTCCAAGATCTGTTTTTTATGATATTTGTAAATCCTGATGATAAAACAACAACAATTAACCTCTTAGCTTTTCTCTCTCTTGTAGGGTGATAGCTCCTATGTTAAGGATCGCTGGTGTGTATTTGATGGATTCATGGTCTTTTGTCTTTGGGTGTCATTGGTTTTACAGGTAATTATTTCACTTACCTTTTTCCTTAATTGTGAAAAATGCATAGCAGAACCAAGTAATTACAAGTTGTGGAAGTATAGCTGTATATGGGTTAAATTGTTTTTAAAAAAATGTGCTGAATTCAGTAGCTCCATAATTGCACATTGCAGCATATCTACATTAGTAGTAGAATTTATCTTGTTTAATTTTTCTTATTAAAATGTTTTACATTACTCTGAAGCTTGTTACTGTAAACCCTCTGCATAGTCAAAAGGAAAGAGAAAGATCTTCAGAGAGCCATTTATCTCTTACTCCATATAACAGTTGTGGTCATCTACTTCAACTGAGTCTAGTAAGGTGCCATGGTGACTACCTTAGGCAGCTAATGGGAGGATGATTCTAATGGTAGATACTTTCCATGCTATAGGCACATTGATACCGTGAGTGAAGGGGTTTCATGTAATATGTCCCACACAAAACCTTCTCCAAAATTCAAGTTAAAACACAATGGAAAAGATAAGAATGAATACATTTGGAAACAGTTTGATAAGTTTTCATGAAGAAGGAAACTTGGACACGTTGCAGTGTTAAGGTACAGGTCAAATTGTGTCCTGCAATCCCAATCATAGCCATTTTTTTGCGTAAGAACAGATTGAAGACTGTGAGACTGGGCCTGTGATAGTATAAGGATGGTAAAAGTTCTATAGCGGCTGCTATTAAGCATAACTTACCCAGTTCTGACAAATTTAAGACATGTTGTAATGTTCTGCTCTATATAAATGGGAAACTTTGGTACATCATATACACATGTAAAGTGAAGGTCGATTGTTACAGATAAGCATCATAAATTACCCGCTTTATGCATCACCAAGATCCCCTTCAATCTTCTTGGTACTTCTAGCAAATATTAAACTATGCAGTTACTCTCAGAGACTGAGAGACAAGGATTACAAGAAGACATTTTCACCCAATCATTAAGCTAAATAGTGTTTATGGAGTGCATTACCTGCCAATGTGTTAAGGAAATGGTTCCCTGTTAAGTAGCTTGGCTGAAATTTTTGTCCTAAGTGGAGGCTGGGGAGAAACCATGTACAGTTTTCTCATGCACTTGGAATTAAATGGAGAATTTATAAGTATGTTGCAACTCATAAGACAATACGTATATGTATTTTTATATCATAGTAGAAACCTTAGTTGTATGCAACAGTAACAGATACTGATTTTCATGTTCAGAAATGTAATTTATTCACTTTTAATGAAACTTGTGGGTTAGGACTAGTGCAGAAGCCAACAGCTGACACAAGCTTGCACAGTCTTGATCTGTTTGAGACAGAAGCATTAAGAACATAGAGTATATTTTTGGAATTTCATTAGGATAACTTAGAAATGGATTAAAGGATTTACTGAGATTTTTCTTTTTAAAAACATGGTTAAAATGAACCATAAAATAAATGAAGAGAAGATTGAAAATAAAAATTATGTTCAGTGTTTATAGTTTTAAAAGTTCTGTATTAATACAGGAGCATGGCAGGGTTGTCAAGAAAAACTCGTGATTCTTTTGTGTGTAGGTGTTTGAAATTGCTGAAATAGTTGACCAGATGTCACCTTGGGGCATGTTACGGATTCCACGACCACTCATTATGATTCGAGCATTCCGGATATATTTTCGTTTTGAGCTGCCGAGAACTAGGATAACAAATATCTTGAAGTAAGTAAGTCTGTTTTCTGAAGAACAACAGAAAATTTCAGTTTTGACGTAGAAGGCTGACTACCGAGCTCAGAGAATGACCGTTCATGCTTAATGGGCATTTTTTTCTTGAGTTTTAGTTCTGGCCAAAAATATTATTGCTATTTTCTATATTTAAGGAATCAACAAGGTTCCTAGAAAATGATCAAAATTGTCAAATATTTAAATAAATCTTAATTTTGCTAATAACTGTAGCCAGCAATTTTCAGCCATTGGCAGTAAATTCTGTTTAAGTAATATGGGCACTTAATAATCAAAGTAAACACTCTTAATAGGGTAATATTCATAAATAAAAATACATCAGTGTATGTATATGTGCAAAGATGCTTACATGCAAGCAAACACACGTAAGTACGTTTGGTATGACATGTAATGGCAAAAGCCATGTAGTGGTAATGTAAAAGTGTTTTTTGGTCTTTATTTGATATCAACTTTACTTCATCATCGTATCTTGTCTGTATAAGTCACTAGATACTATTTTACAAAAGCTAGACTTGGTATATTCTGTCTGTTTGTGTTTCTTTGTTCCACCCGTTGTAGTTTACAGGTGGTTTATTTACCCTAACTTACAGGGTTAGAAAAAACCATGGCTCCCATTTCTGTCTCTGCACAGTGTGAGAGATCAGTTGTAAGGACAAATTTTCTGCAGGATGAAATACTACTTCCTCTGTGTGACCATATTTTCTATTCTGGAGCTTTTCAAAGGAGGCTTTATGTTGCCTGTGCATTCAGTGTCATATTTCTCTTTTTTGACAGGCGTTCCGGAGAGCAAATCTGGAGTGTTTCAATTTTCCTTCTGTTCTTTCTCCTCCTATATGGGATCCTGGGAGTGCAGATGTTTGGAACTTTTACGTACCATTGCGTGACAGACGACACACAGCCAGGGTGAGTTATGCTTGTACTGGTATGATGGGGGGCTGTTTTTTCAGTCCATGTGTATATTGTAGTTAGCATCAGTGGTCATAAAATGGACTCAATAGGTTAAAAATAGCCCACCAAAATACACTAAGATAAAGCGAGGAAATAAAAATGTTAGGAATGATGAAAAATACAGTTTTTAATGATGACATACGGATTACAAAGTATGGCATTGGGCTGCAGTCTGAGTTAGGGGGTGAGTGACTGTGTATGTGTTAAGGGGGTGAGAGAGGAGGGGAGCAGAGGAGGCTTTAAGAGGAGCGTTACCGCTTGCAGCTCATTTGGCTGATTCATCAGCTTTTGCTGTATTCTCCTATCTTTCCCCAGGATGTCTGGGTGTGGCTTAAAGTACAGTTCAGAACTGCCCCTAGAATCTTCTATTCTTCTATTCTTCTATTCTAGAATCTTCTAGAAAGAAGATTGAGATTTTTTACTGTGAGGGTGACAGAGCACTGGAACAGGCTGCCCAGAGAGGTTGTGGAGTCTCTTTCTCTGGAGACATTCAAAACCAACCTGGACGTGTTCCTGTGTGACCTGGTCTAGGTGATCCTGCTCTGGCAGGGGGGTTGGACTGGATGATCTTTCGAGGTCCCTTCCAACTCCTGAGATTCTGTGATTCTGTGATTCTGTGAGTCTGTGATCTCACACCCTTTCTGGATGAAGAGGTCACTGGGACCTGATGCTCAGATTTAAAAACCCTTTTTACTCAGCCTTTGGAAAATACTTATGATTAATATTTTACATTGGTAACAGAGTATACATCCTGGTTTTGATTCAGCACATACTTAAACACAAGATTAACCTGAAGTACAGTATTGCTTCTTGTCACTGGGTTGGCTCATAAAATAACAGATAAGTATACGCTTATACATCCTGTTGAACTGGGGGCTTGACTATGCTCAACCACCATTACATTGTGGGATTCTATTACATCTGTTTCTTTGTTTTGTGTCTGTTTCTTTGGATAGGGATATGTTAGCTCTGGAGTTACAGCCCTTGCTTTAGTCAAAATTGGATCCTTTTATTCCTGTACTGAATTTATCAGGACATAAAATAAATAGAGTTGACATAATAAGAGAGTGAAACACTGCTTTGTCTGCCACTGAGCTGAAAAAATTGATTATCACAATATTTATCACATATTTAACTCTGTGTTAAAGATTTTTCTAAACTAGGGCCTATAAGCTATCAAATATAAAATGAGATTATTAAATAATTAAGAAAATATCCAAAAGGTTACAAAATTATTTGAGAGTATGCTAGACATTATATGGTATTTTGTTAAATGAAAATATTTACTTTTTGATATTTTCTTAATTATTTATTTAATCAATACTATAGTAAATTATGGGGCTCATCTTCACCTAGAGTTGAAATGAGATATTTCATTCTGACATTTTCTCTTTTTCAAGAGAAAAATCTTTATTGCACAGTTTTTTTTGCTGTTTCCAGTAGACATGGGGAAAAAATACTTGTGAAAAATTTGCTTGTGATAATGAGAAGATCTGTGAGTCTGTGATTTCCCTATGTTGTTCACAAAAAGAAGAAGTGGAATAGACAACACAGGGAAAATTTGGCATCATATAACTGCTTGTATCATTGAATATGGCTTTATCCTGAAATCAGCAAAAAAAATTAAGTGGTACATAATAATGTTTGCAATATGGAAAGTTAAGTTCATAACTTTAAGTTTGCCTGTAAAAATTTTGTCTAATTTCTTCTTCATTTGCTTAGTTGCTCTCTGAATACAGCTATATTTAAAAAGAAAAGAGATAGTTTATGGAAACACCTGAAATTTATGTTGTTGAAAAGCCAAATAACACAAATAGATTAAGAGGGTCAAATATCCACAATATAAAATTATAATAAAAACCTGCCTAAAAGTGGGTTAAAATTGGAAAAGTCAAGCATGCAGAATTAAGGAAATTTTAGACTTGAGGTTGAATGTCTAGCCTTAATGCCTTTTTCTTTCAGTATCATCAAGTATATATATCTATATGTATATATGTATATATATATTTAGCTGTTTAAAAACTAGAAATCTAATTTAAGGAACTTCTTAGGTACCTGGGATAGGCACCTTCAGAAAGTAATTTATCACTTCTGCCATGTCCAAACCAGAAACGTAACTTTAAATTATTTCCGTGGTTGTGTATGAGGACTACAGTTACATTAAAAAACACTTTTTCCCTAGAAGTGCTGCTTCATTTATTCTGACAAATGAATGGTGCTCACACAAAGAACAATACTTTTCTTTGTTGCTTGACATGTGGACTTTTACCTTACTTTTGGCATATTGCTCATTCCTACTCTGAAAACACTGATTTCTTCTTCTTGTCTGTGACATTCATAATTTTAACTTGTGAGCATTTCATAGAATCACAGAATGGTTTGGGTTGGAAGGGACTTCTAAGATCATCCAGTCCAACCCCCTGCCACGGGCAGGGACACCTCCCACCAGACCAGGCTGCTCAAAGCCCCATCCAACCTGGCCTTGAACACTTCCAGGGAGGATGCATCCACAACTTGGGCAACCTGTGCCAGTGCCTCACTACTTTGAGTAAAGAATTTCTTTCTAATAGCTAATGTAAATCTACCCCCTTTCAGTTTGAAGCTAATGCTATCACCAAGTCTGCTTTGACAAAGACATATATAGAGTAGAAATTATTGCCACAAAGTCTATTTGAGGCAGAAGGTGTAGCAGCAGGCAGAAAAGGACTAGATTTACATATGGATTATAGGAATAGACAAAGGAATATCAGAAAATATTTAATAAATAATTTTGAAACACTGAAATCCTCTGGCTTAAGAAAATAAATAATCTATAGCTACAGAGGTTAGAAAAATTTTCCTCATAGGTACATTTCTCATATCTGTCTTCCTAAGAGCTTTTTACAGGCAGTTGGTACTGGTCCCTCAAAGATGGCAAGATGCACTAGCCTGGAAAAGCCTGACCTATTGTACATTCAGGATACATAGTTTGACTGTTACAATAATGGTTTAAAATCGATACCCTCATCACAGAATCACAGAATCACAGAATATTAGGAGTTGGAAGGGACCTTGAAAGATCATCTAGTCCAACCCCCCTGCCAGAGCAGGATCACCTAGACTAGGTCACACAGAAATCATCCTGTCACTACACTCCCTGATAAAGAGTCCCTCCTCATCTTTCCTGTAGGCTCCCTTCAGATACTGGAAGGCTGCTATAAGGTGTCCCTGGAGCCTTCTCCAGGCTGAACAGCCCCAACTCTCTCAGCCTGGCCTCATAGGTGAGGTTCTTCAGCCCTCACATCATCCCCACGGCCCTTGTCTGAACTTGCTCCAACAGGTCCATGTCCTTCTTATGTTAGTGGCCCCAGAGGGGGACACAGTACTTTAGGTGGGGTCTCACAAGAGCAGAGTAGAGGAGCAGAATCACCTCCCTCACCCTGCTGGCCACGCTTCTTTTGATGCAGCCCAGGATGCGGTTGGCCTTCTGGGCTGCAAGCGCACATTGCCGGCTCCTGTTGAGCTTCTTATCAGCCAACACCCCCAAGTTCTTCTCCTCGGGGCTGTTCTCAATCCATTGTCCTATCAGTCTTTATTTGTGCTTGGGATTGCCCCTACCTGTGTCCAGGACCTTGTATTTGGCCTTGTAGAAGTTCATGAGGTTTGCACAAGCCAATCTCTTAAGCCTGTTAGGTCCTTCTGAATGGCATCCCTTCCCTCCAGCATGTAGACTGTACCACACAGCTTGGTGTCATTGGCAGCAAACTATCTGATTCTTTAAAAGTGTTTGAGCAATGCAGTGCAGAAGCTCTGGGTGGAATTAGCTTGTGCCTTCTTTGCGTAGGTCAGGGTTGATCTTCCCAGCTCTGGTTAGAGAATTTATAAGAACAACCACCATGGGCTGGGAAAATAAATATAGAGAAAGAAATAACAGTTCTGGTCTGAAAAAAAGTCAATTTAGAGGCAGACATCGGTCCAAAAAGTACTTAGAAAGGAGGCAATGTGCCACTTCTGAATCCAGGAGATTAGCTGAGAAGTGGTAGAGCACAAAAGCACAAAAATACTTTTGTCTTTGAGGTTCAATTTCTCAACTTTATAATGAGGATTAAACATTCCTCTCAGAAGTTAAGCTTGTCTGTCTCAGGTGATTCAGTTCCAGGCAATGGAGAGTGGCAAAAGTTGACTGTACTTGGCCTTAAATAACTTCAGAGTCTTTAATGAACCACAGCTGTAAATACAGTGCAACTTACAGAGTTTCTGCAAAACAGATCCCAGGCTATCCAGTCAAGATTAGAAAATGAAAAGCATCAAATTAGTGACCACCTGTGAGAATTTTAATTTTAGGTGACTTGTCTGTAATTATGCATAATTCTCTGGCAAGTGGCAAGAGTGAAGTCTTATTACTGAGGTCAAGACTTCATATATTTCTGAAATTTTAGAAATCACTCTTTTTAACTCTACTGCCTTCTGAATTGTTATTTTAAGAGGGCAAGTGTCTTTTGAAAATGGCATCTTAAAATGGTATGTTTCTTTTTTTATTTGAAAGGATGTGGCAGCCTCATCAGACACTCGATACCTCTTTGACTACTGCAAGTTCTTTTATCTTTCCATCCTTCTTGACGCCCACACTGCCTGACCTCGTGTCTCTCCACCTCCTCAGTCATTTTCTAATGTTAACTCTGACAAACAGAAGTACTGAAGTGAGCTAACTGTGGACTGAGTTCTTCATTCCATCTGTGAAATCAGCAAAATCTGACTTCCTTCCAAAGGCTAAAAAGTATTTTTTTCCTGTTGTTTGATGATAAATCTTTTTTTTCCCTCATTCTTATAATCTTTTTTTATTTTGCCAGATTTTTTTCTGTACAGGGAACACTGTCTTCTTCCTAGACAGTTTTCTCACTTAGTATTCCCTTGTGATTATTACTTATCTTTTTACAACTGTGCTGTCACAGCTGTTTCTTGATGATTTCTCCAAT